AGTTTTCGTAATTACGAAAACCATGAGGGGTCTAAGTTTTCGATTTTACGAAAACTAAGACCCCTAAATTTACAGTTAAATTCGACCTAAAACACGGTGGAAAGGATCGGACAGGAGATAATTTGACAGATTAGATCTGTTTTGGTTACAATTTTACTTTATATCTCGAAAACTAAGACGGGTCTTAAGTGCAAGTGCAACGTTAATCGAAGCTCCCCCCTAAAGCGGCTTTTCAGCCTCAATGCAGTAAAGTTGAGATCGGACGTCAGTATTTTATCAGGCGTCTTCGGCAGCCGCTTCAGTCCAGGTAGCGATCCCACCTTCCCACCCTGGGGAGGACATTCACCACACAGTAATCTCGTGCGTGGGAAATTAACATCTCCTACCCCAAACCCAGCAGGAGACGGGACCTACGGCTTTACGTCTTATCCGAGATGACGAAGCAATGTGAGTGAAGCGACTAGCTTAAGGCCACAACGTAGTGCCCCAGCCAGGACTTGACCGTTGAAGAAATCAAATCAAACCATTCTCAAACATTCTCTAGTGTAAATCAACAAAAGACAAAAAGTCAATTTATTAGTCTGACAAGAGGACGTCGAAAATCAGTAATAAAATTTTGGGGCAATGGATTCATAACCCGTGCTGACGTAAGATTTACATCTAACTCCCGCTTTTTAGTATGTATCATCAAAACTCAGTAAACCACATCTTTGTTTTATCAAAATAACTTGAAATTTACCAGAAATTTCCCAGAGAGTATCATTTAAACATGAACGAAGAGAGAATCTTTGAATAGCGCAAGTTGAGCCCTTTTTGAGAACTTTTTTCGCAGCCATATTTGGATAGTTCACGACGAAACGCAGCAGTTGATGATGAACATCAAGGGCGCATGTAGTCGAACTTTCTGACAAAAGAAATCTAGGAAGAAACTTGATAGTATGTACATGTCTCTGGAGTGCCCCAGTTGCAAATTTTGGCTTGATATTATTTGTTAGATAATGTTGAGGACATTAGCCAGAAGGCTCATTTTTTAATTATCGATTGGTTCATACGTCAGCGTGGGTTCATCGAGATATGAAGCACGCGGGAAGTTTGGAGATCACGAAAGATGCGTCAGACTCTAGCTTCTTGAGTGCTATCCAAACTTCCCAAGTTTTATTTATTTATTTATTGCAATTTAATGGCAGAAATACACAAATGCAGGTATGATACAGTTAATTAACCAGAAAAAATGCCATAAGGAGAATCTGCAAGAGTCCCAGACCCCATGTAACAGCAGATCACCCAATATATATAGTACGAATGAGATACTATGTTATAATAAAGAAAAATAAAATCATGATTTAATTTACCCATAAGAAATTTCTTCACTTCAATTTAAAATTTCCAGTACAATTTGCAATGCAAATGTCAACAAGCAACATATTCCAAGAATCTACTATTCAATGGAAATAGGAATATTTAAGGGAATTAGTCCTTGCATTTTTTTTTAACATCAGATGATCATAATGTCTTAAGGAATAATAATCTAAACTAGAGTAAAAATCCACAAAAGGAGAAACTTCAATGTCAACAAACCCTTTCAGTGCCTCAAAAAAGAAAGTAACGTCAATCAAAACTCTTCTGTCTTCCGAAGATAATAGATTTGACTTCTCAAGACGAGCTGTATAGCTATCTCGATGAATGCACAGCTGACGTATGAACCAATTGTTTTTTGATCATTTCACTAATTTCAGAATGATCTTAGATACGTACATAGTTACAATGTTGATGTGTTTTTTTCTGTTTTTATATTGGTTTTGTAATCGGACCTTTCAGCGTCACCGTGCGCATGTAAAAAGCAAGTTTGGCGTCCCTTTAAACAGTTCATCGTAAGTTTTTGAGTAGTCTTAGTGTACTTTCGTCAAGCCAAGACACCACCCAAAAGCGAGACATGTTTACACCCATCCCATTTCGAAACTTCAAAAGGAACTGGTCGTATAAGAAAAATGACGGAAAAGAGATCACTGGGCTTTTCTTGTGAAAATTAAGCTCGTGAATCGACATACTGCCTATAAGAAACCTAAGGAACAGATGCAAAAGATCCTTGCGTTACGCGACTCACCAGAAACCGAAATAGAACAGTTAGAGGGAGAGAGACTTTATCTCGATCATTAGAAAGATAAGTTCAATGCCGCTCAAAAGGAGTACGATGACTTATTAACATCAAAAGAGTAAAAGGAAGCTTCGTATCGATGGTTCGATATTCGGGATCGAGAATTTTTTGAGTGCGTTTGAAAGAAATTCGGCCAGTTGGACGCCATATGTTAAATAGGGTCACAGCAGGAAGTCGAAGGCATCTGGCTTGGTAAGTTCCTCGTCCACAAAGCATCTCTCTCTCGCCTTAGTCGATGCGGCAGCTAAGGCCGCAAAGTTTCAGGCTGAAATGGAATTTCTAGAAAAGGAAAAGGAACTAAGACGGTTGCAAATAGAAAAGGATCTAGCCATTGCAAGCGCTGAAGAAAGTGCAATCAAACGAGTTCTCGAACAGGAAAGATTATCGGGCGATAAAGACTTGACAAGTGGTGAGGGCGTCAAGCAGGAGTTAAAGCCGGACGTAGGGGTCCAAAACATTAAGGAAGAGAGGAGCTACGTCAACCAGTACCCGCTCGCTCCTCCGTTCATCCCTAGAAGCCAATCAACGCCAGCCTCCAAGCCCTTGATACCGAAGCCTGCAATTACTCCGCATGTCTAGAATAGTGGTGTCAACACAACTCTTCAGCAGGTAGTCGGCTTACAAGCGGAGCAAACAGAGTTTAGTTCGTTACTTATCAATCAGCAGCAAATAAACCACCTTCCGGTAACAGAGCCACCAGTTCTCTCTGGAGACTACTTCGAATATCCAGCCTTCGGGACTGCCTTCGATTCTATCATCTCCAAAAGTGTGCCTTCGAACAGAGATCGACTCTTTTTCTTGAATAAATACACTAAAGGTAAGGCGAATGACGTTGTAAAAGGTTACATAGCCATCAACTCCGACAGTGCTTACGAAAAAGCTCGAAAGAAGCTTGACCACCGTTTTGGGAACCCCATCCATGTAGCAGAGGCCTATAAGTCTAGCCTTAGAACCTGGACTAAGATCAACGACGGAGACAGTGGTGGTATCCAAGACTTTGCTGATTTCCTAATACGTTGTGAAGAGGCAATTGCAATGAAGACCATCCATGCAGTCTATAGGGGACCTCAACTCGACAGAAACCCTCCGCCTCGTAAGCAACAAACTGCCGTCTTACTCTGCAAGAAAATGGTGCCGGCACGCCCATGAAGCACAGACGAAGTTTATGAAGATTGTCACCTTTAGCGACTTTACGAAGTTTGTCAGGGAAGAGGCAGAGCCAGCTAACGACCCTATTTTCTCACCGGATGCTTTAAAAGCAGAAAGGAAGACAGTTGATACCCTGACGAGCTCGGGGTGGTGAGGCGAACAAAACAAAAAGAGCGAAGGCAGAGCGAGGGCAGATTCTTTTGCGACAACAACCACTCGATTACAAGACAGCTCTGTTTCACCGTCAAAGACTTCAGCGGATCAACTCGATCAAGCGTGCCCCCTTTGCAACGGTCAGCACGCCCTCGTCAAGTGCAGCAAGTTTCTGAAGAATTCAGTAGACGAACGCGGTGAAATTATTCGCAGCAAGAGTCTACGTTTCAAACGTTTTAAATCTGGTCGCGTGTCTTCGTGATTTCGGAACCGATCTACTTGTAAAGAATGTGGAAACGTCCCCATACACCACTACATGGCGTGAAATTAAGGTCTACACCAAGCAGGCAGCCCAACCCCATGGCACATGAAAATCAGCAATCTTCAAACAAGAAAGAAACGCACAGTGAGAAACCGCCAGTCAAGGAATCTGCCAGCTCTAATCTTATCAGTGTAGCGCACAGCTCAGCTGGAGAATCCGCTAGTGTAATTAGCCATTGCAGAATTGTCCAAGTTATTCTATCCCACAAGAATAATTTGTTAAAGACCGTTAAGGTTTATTCACTCTTAGACGATGCAAGCGACACAGTCTTTGCTACCACCCAAGTACAGCGCGAACTCGGTATTGAAGGCGTTGAAACCAGTTTAGATTTGAGCACAATACTTGGTCGAGAAAGGTTAACGGTTCAAAGAGTCGATGGTTTGGTGGTACAGCATCTCGACAAACGCATCTAACTTGAGTTACCAAAGGCATACGCAAGACAAAGCATTCCGTCCAGAGGAGACCAGATACCGAGACCAGAAATCGTAAACAACTGGCCACACCTTAAGAGAATCTAGGATGACATTCTGCCATACGAAGAGAATATGGAAATTAGCCTGTTCATCGATTGTAACTGTCCTTAGGCGATTAAACCAAGAGCCATAATTCGCGGTCAAGGTGATGATCCCTATGCAGTTCTCACCTTGTTAGGATAGAGTATCCTGGGACCAGTTGCGACGTTAGACACTCCCTCGGGAGACTACGTCCTAATGTCTTCGTGTCATCGCATCTTGTCACGAAGTTGTTTCTGGTACTGACGACAGTCAGTTCAGTTTCATTTTCAACGGAAAAACAAAAGAGGTGATAAATCCAACTGCGATCAATGAGATGTTTGAACTCGAACTTCAGTTACCTCTGAAAGACGAAAACATCGACCTCCCTAACAACAGATTCACTGCGCTTCGCCGACTAAGTCAGCTTAAAAGACGAAACTGTCAGAAGTACAAGGCGGACTATGGCGAATTTACGCTGAAAGAGTGCCTGAGATGTCTGAATCGAACTATACACCTGGCGATCACACTGCAAGGAAATGCAACGCTTGGTGCATTCCGCACCACGGCGTCTACCACCACAAAAAACCAAACAAAATTCTTGTGGTTTTCGATTGTGCTGCTGGGCATGAAGGCGAGTCACTAAACAAGCACCTGCTTCAACGCCCTGACTTCACAAATAATTTGACTGGGGCGATGTGCAGGTTTCGTCAGTAGCCCCATCGCGTTCATGTGCGATATAGAAGCCATGTTCCACCAGGCGAAAGTCAACGAAGAGCACAGGGATTTACTGCGTTTCTTCTGGTGGGAAGATGGCGAACTCTCGGAAGAAGCTAAAGAATACAGGATGACTGTGCACTTGTTCGGAGCCACTTCGTCTCCAGGCTGTGCAAACTTTGCACTGAAGTCCACGGCAAACGATTTTGAAGAAGAGTTTGACGCTACGGACGCAGATTTGGTTCGCAATGACTTCTATGTCGACGTCGACTTCAAGTCCGTTCCATCGGTTGATGACGCAGTGCAGTTGGTAACAAGTGCGAAGCAGATGTACAAAAGAGGATGTTTCCGTCTGCACAAGTTTGTGTCTAACAACAAAGAAATTTTCAGAAAAATCTCAGAGTCAGACAGATTAGACGGCGTAAAGGAGTTAGATTGAGACCTCGATTCGCTTTCTTTAGAGTATACTCTCGGCGTTCACTGGTGCGTCGAGTCAGACTGCTTTCAGTTCACCATCGTGCTACAGGACAAGCCTTGTACTAGACGAGGGATTATCTCCACTGTGAGTTCAGTTTTCGACCCACTCAGTTTTTGCTCCACTCTTGTTGGATGGGAAGTCGATTCTCCAAGAGTTGTGTCGCCATGAAGTTGGCTGGGATGACCCAATACCAGACGACATCAAGGTAAAGTGGGAAAATTGAAGAGCGGATTTACTGCACTTGCAGCGCCTTTCTATTCCCAGATGCTACAAACCTGAAAATTTTGGTCGTGTAGTAAATGCGCAACCTCCTCATCTCTTGGACGCTCGTATCAAAGGCTATGGCCTGTGTAGTTATTTGCGACTCGCAGACGAAAACCAGAGAATCCATTGTGCCTTCGTAATGGGAAAGTCCAGGGTAGCACCGTTGAAGCCTGTAACCATACCTAGACTCGATCTTACCGCCACCGTATGCTCAATGAAGATCAGAGAACTGCCACGTCGAGAATTAGAGTATCACATCGATCAGAAGTAGTTCTGGACGGACAGCATCGTAGTACTTAGATAAATCAGGAACGAGAGTAGACGATTCCACGTGTTTGTTTCTAACAGAGTCCAAGATATTCATGACAACACCTCTGTCGACCAGTAAAGGTAGGTCGAATCGAAACAGAATCCAGCAGACGAAGCATCGCGAGGCATGAAAGCGCAAGAGATACTAGATTCCCGATGGATTACTGGACCACCATTTCTTTGGGAGAAAGAAAGCCAGTGTGGCCTACCAGCAACGAAGACCACAATCTTTAGGAAAGCGATCCCGAAGTAAAGTCTGTCGTCATGGCAGCCGCCCAGGCAGCCACAGAGAAGTTAACAGAGAAGTTAACCCTTGCAGAGAGAATAGAATATTTTTCTAACTGGTATCGAGCGAAACGTGCAGTTGCCCTTTGTCGACGTTACGTCACATTCCTGAAAGATCGCGTGTACAAGAAACGAGGTGACAGCGAAGAACTTCAAGAGCTTAAGGTCTAAGACTTGGAAAGCGCAGAGCGCGCAATAATTCGTGCAGTACAGTTAAAGGCCTTTAAAGAAGAAATAGCAACTTTGAGGTAGATGAAGCAGGAATACACTGACCAAGAAAGTAGAGTCTTCACACGGCAGAGAAAGGCTAGCATGTAGCTCGCGTTACAAGCTTGATCCATTTCTAGATGTTAACGGAATTTGCGAGTTGGTGGACGTCTCAGGCGGGCAACCCTAGCTGATGACATCAAGTTCTCTACCATACTTCCGCGAGACAGTCATGTTACCCAGCTGGTCGCTAAAAATTCGTCAACGCATACGTCATCAAGGCAAGGGTATGACCTTAAGAGAGAATGTCCACTAAGACCGAGCGAAAATGGAAATTCGTGGCACATCTCGAAAAATCAAAATTCTTCATATTTTCTCTGAAGATACCTTTAGTGGCTTAAGAAACGCCATCGGATTTTTTTCTTGTAATGTCTTTTTAAACCTCCATAAAATAAAAAAAAGCCGTCACGAGCCAAAACGTTCCGAAAGGCATCCGAAAAATACGCAATTGGTACCTTCCTCATAAAATCCGCCCTTTAAATTTGCATCATAGAAAGAGCCGTTTCGTGCGTTAAACATTGCTGTTGAAGTCTTTGCAAGTAACTTGACCTCAATCTTACAGTGAATAAGATTTAGAGGTAATGGTAAGCCGATGAATTTGACTAAAATTCACCTTCGAATAATTTGTAATTTAGCGTGTTTTTTTAAGGCACATATTTTGTACCCGGTGAAACATCGAATAACTTAATATTGATAAACTTAAGAGAATAAATGCTGGTCTAAAATGGGATGTAAAAATTAGTTTCGGGCTTTTTATCAGCACCGAGTAGGAAGCCTCTTAAAATAGCGGTTATCACAGCAAAATCATGTCAACCAGACGTCAACAAATAGCACATTCTCCAAACTCGTAAGCAAAAGATTGTAAAAAATTTTTGCATTCTAATCAATCTTTGTGGTCGTCGGTAAACCACAGCGCTGAAGAACTGCAATTTTAGATCCTTGGAACAAGATATTGACTGAATATCTGTTTCCGTGAGTATTTTATCGCTAGTAGATGAGCCATCTCGGGTAAACATTTTAAAATTAGTGTCACCCTGAGCCGGATTAACTTACACGAGTTTATTCAATTTTCCCAGATTAATTTTTCTACAAATAACCTATGAGAGCCTTTACAGATCAAATGAATTTGTTTTTCTTTGAGTTACAAATCAGCCTCCCTAAAAATGCTCTTTACAGCATTCCGACACCATTTTGCCGAAATCTCATATGCAATCGTTATCGTATCTGTTATGTCACGTAATGGTCACGAAGTTGATTTTGTCACTGGACGTCATGATCCTTTAGAAGCACAACTAAACACCAAGAAGCCACACAAATAGGCGAAATCTAAATTCCCATCATGTAGATATACTTCAAATTTATCTGTAGACGCAATGGGAATGCACAGTGGTATGCGAGTGAGTCCACAGGGAATTTTTTCATACTTTTGAGAAGCATGAAAAACTGTGACGGCGACAAACGTTTCCCAAATGTGAACATTGCGACCTCTTATACTCATGTATTCTTCTTTCTTCTTTTTCAAGGAAGCAACTGTGCTTTTTATACTTAAATAACCACTGCGACGTTCGATGCAACACAACGATATTTAATACACATGTAAGACCATAACCGACTACACAAGTAAGTCCTTTTCTTTTAGGGCCTGATTACATGAGCCGGGCTGGCTCGGTTAGCTGGGCTGGTGTCAGTTTGCCGGGATCTCGGCACGTTTGTCAAACGCAACAAAAATAAACCTCGCGATTACATGACAACCGGGCCGGCCCGGTGAGCCGAGATCCCGGTATCGCGGTGCCGGGATCCCGGCTAACCGGGCTGAAATGTTTTCATATAATCGCGTTTACCGGGTCAGCCCGGCTCGTTAAACGAGCGAGAGTTCAGCGGGTAATACAATGCTCATGCGCTATGGTTTCAATTTCATGCAAACATGGCGGCCACGAAATTCAAGTGGTCGATTGGAATGGTGGACGACCTTCTTCGCGCGCTCGGTGAATTCAAAGCTAATATGGAGTATCGCAACGTGGACTTCAATGCTGATAAAAACAAGCAATATGAAGCAGTGAGAAAGGCGATGACGAGAAAGTATTCTTCTGGCGATGTTGACTTGTTTGGGCCAGAAGAAACAACTGCCATTCCTGAAGATGTTGAGGAGTCTCAGAGTAAAGAGTTGGTGGAAAAAGTCAAGTCAGAGAAAGCGCTGATCAAGAAAGGTTATTCCAGGGTGATGGAAAAGATAAAAGCATTGCGGCTAAAATTTTGTAATGCTGTGACAACAGGATCTAGAAGTGGTTCTGGAAAGTTGGTGATGGAGTTCTATGATGTAATGGTAAAGATATGGGAAGGATCGCCGTCAACGGAACCTTTGAGCTTTGGTGTTCAATCAAGTGTACTACATGACCATGAGAAACAACTTGGCGAAGAAAACGCGAGCGACACCTCCAGTGACCTGTCATTTCAAGCTGATCAGTCCCCACAAGGTGGAGAAACCTCTTCAGACCAGTCGAGAAGTCTGAAACGGCCAAGGTCCTCAAGTCCCGTTGTGCAATTAATCGATAACAGGAGGAAGCACATGGAGCGACAATTGTCGTCAGCAAAGCGAGATCAAATTCTTATAGATGAGGCAAGAGAAGACAATAAGTCAAGAAAAGATCTAGCTGAGAGTATGTTACAGTCAAATCAAGTTTTTGCTCAGTTCATGCACGCAGTAAGTTCCTCAATGATGTGCATAGCTCAAACCATGAGTCGTTTATTTGAGATGTTAGCACATGCTCTTGCATTACCTGAGCAAGGCATGACTCAGCCGTCTTACACAGCTGTGCCATTCGTGTCACAACCACTAAGGTTACATGAAGGCCACATGGGCATGATAGGTCGATCCAGTCATCATTCACAGTTGAGGCAAGATGATGGTGACACCAATCTTTTTACCTTTTTAATGTTTTCAGAATATTAGAAGTACTGATGTTGTATTTGTCTAACTAGCTGACTTTACTTTATATGAGTTTGTAATAACAGATAGCATTTTGGTTATTATTGAAACGATTCTGTTCAAACCAAAGACTGCAAGTTGCTCTCTAAGCTATTGTCACAGTTTGTAACGTTAAAATTTTTTAAATAGCCAATAATATTGACTGCTAGTTGCAGGCAATTGTTGTTTTTGTTCTGAACTTTTGATATCACATAATTTCACAGTCATAAGATATGTTTAGATCTTCTAAATTGTTAATAGAATTGGAAATGAAGGGTTTAATGTTTTGTTTAATAGGTCTGCTTTGAATTTCCATTTCATTCTCTCAATAAGTTCACTGGAAGATAATAGTAGCAGATCCAGACCTTGAGCTATGTTGAGCCAGATTGAAAAATTTGGGTTTGGGCTAAATATGTGGACAATTACCAAGAAAATAAAACAAAGTAAGGGGGGCCCCCCTTGATCCACCAGTACCTGGATAATGTGGGGTGATATATGTATGCGAACACAACAGTGCAGTAGACATTGAAAATGAATAGGCCATCTCCCAATTACCTGAAGCCTTGTTCTTAAAGAAAATATTAGTTGCTTTGATGCCTTGCTTTGATAAAAAGGCTAAGGGAATCTCAGAAGTGGACAAGTGATAGATTAGAATAAAATGTTCAAACTTTTGAAGGGAATTTTTATGCAAGGTTTTAAACTTATGTATCCTACCTTTAGCCGTATCCTCTGGCGTAATGGAGAAAAACGTGTTTCTTTATTTCTTGATGTGAGTACAGTCACACCCTTAACCAGAAAATGTGGATTTGAAACTTAAGTTTCAAGAGCTTGAATTTCTTTTCAGTGAAGTAATTAACTACTTAGGTAACAC